GAGGTGTCTCGACCGTGCACAGATGCTCTCCACCTGGCACGCTCCGATAGTTGCGAGGTCAGAACGCAAAGTCCTGACGGCGGGTGCTCCTCGAGCCCGTCGACTCAGGCACCTGGAGTTAGTTGCGAGGATATGCCTGCAGTGGCACGCGGGTCTCTGCCAGTGGACTCTTCGATGGTGGGAGGGATCAGAACGCAAAGCCCTGCGCACGGGCGCTCCTCGAACCTCGTGCAGCAGGATCACACAAATTGTGAGGGTGACGTCACGACTTCCGCCCCGTCCAGAGCTGCCAGATGGTCGAGACGTGGTTGGATCTAGTCGACGACTCCACGGGAAGTGGCCCCGTGCTCGCGGACGCGGCCATCACCGACCCAGAGTGCGACCGCGACCTCGTCGGCCCCGCCCCCGACTGCGCCTGCCACCTTCTCGAGCTCGGGACCAGTCTATTATCAGATGCAGGCCTTCGCCATCGATGTCGCACATGATATCCCGCTTGAAGCCCCTTCGGATCCGAGCCCTCCGAGTGCTCCTGAGGCCATCTGCGTGCTCTCTCTCTCTCTCTCTCTCTCTCTCTCTCTCTCTCTCTCTCTCTGTCCGGCTCCGCGATTGGACTCATTGGGCCTGCTGGGTGTCTGACGGCCCCTCCCCACCTGCGCCGCTTGGCGGCCTGTTTGGGGCCCGCTCCGCGCGCAGCCTGGAGTTCTCGGGAGTGAGGGTCTACCGCCCGCCCATGTCTGGAGCCGATAGTAGACGTCCTTTCGACGCTAATGGTATTGCCCCTTGCCCGCCTTGCTTGTCCCTCTCTCCCCGCCTCCCTGCGTTCGAGCCTCATGCTGCTGCCCCCTCATCCGCGTTTGCGCGCGTCCGCCCGCTGCCACACGCCGACGCCGCTGGGCGTCGTGGCGAGGAGGCGTTCCTCTAGGCGGGGACCCGCGCCGCCTCCCTACGGTCCACTCCTCCTCCCCCTCCTCCTCCTCCTCCTTCTCTTCCTCCTCCTCTTCCTTCTCATCCTCCTCCTCCTCCTCCTCCCTCCTCCTCCTCCTCCGCCTACTCCTCCTCATCCTCCTCCCCTTCCTCCTGCTCCTCCTTCTCCTCCTCCTCCTCCTCCTCCTCCTCCTCCTCCTCCTCCTCCTCCTCCTCCTCCTCTCCTCCTCCTCCTCTTCCTCCTCCTATTCCTCCCCCTCCTCATCCACCTCCCTCTCCCCCTCCCCCCCCCCCCCCCCCCCCCTCCCATCCCTTGCTATGCACAGTTTCCCGTCCGTTTCCCTCCTGCCCCCATCCTGCTGCCCATCCCTCGTTGACCCCCATCCTACTCCTCACCCCATCGGCCCCCTCCTCCTTCTCATCCCAGACAATACCTGAAGGCAGCAGGCATTCAGCATCAGTCAGTATCCTTCTCCATATGCGTCTCCTCCTCTCCCTCCTGCCCCTCCTCCTCATCCTCCTCCTCCCCTCCTCCTCCTCCCCTCCTCCTCCCCTCCCCCTCCTCCTCATCCTCCTCCTCCTCCTCCCCCCCCTCTGCCTCCTCCATCTCATCCACATCCCCCTCCCCCTCCCCCCATCCATGCCTTGCTATACATGTTCCCCCCTTCCGTTTCCCTCCTCCCTTTATGTTGCTGTTCATATTTCATTCACCCTCCTTTTACCCCCCCCCCTCGCCCCCCCCCTCTCCCCTCGTCCCAGACAGCACATGAAGGCAGCAGGCATTCAGCAGCAGTCCTTATCCTTCTACGTCTCATCCTCCCCATCCTGTTCTTCCTCCTCCTCCGCCGACTCCTCCTCCTCCTCATTTTTCTCCTGCTCCTCCTCCTCCTCCTCCTCCTCCTCCTCCTCCTCCTCCTCCTCCTCCTCCTCCTCCTCCTCCTCCTCCTCCAGGGTGATCGCTAGGATTTTCAAGAACTCCGATAAGTTGGCGGGGCTCGCTTTAAAACCCTCGAAATGCTGTGCCACCCCTCTTTGGGCCCCGTGGTCTGATGATCTCATTGCCCCGACGACCGAGCTGCTGGCCTCCGCGCGTGCACCCTGGGCTGAGTTCAAGGTCGGCCCGACGCTCGAGTACCTCGGCTGTGTTGTAGGCCCCGCTGCTGAGAGCGAAGAGCAGTGGGCAGCACCTGCGGCGAAGCTTGAGCACCGCGTCGCCGCCCTGTCGCGTCCCCTTGCTGACACTGCTGCCGTCGTCTCGCTCTACCACGAGCGCGCGCTTAGCGTGCTCTCATACAAGTCGCAGTTATATGAGATCCCTCGGTCCCTCCAGCGGCGCGAGAAAGATCTGTTGACTCGCGTGTTTCGGGCCCCTGGATCCTGGCTCTCTGCCTCCTGCTTCCTCGACCTCGACTCCCTCGGTGGTCCGCGGGTCCAGGGTATCCGAAGCAACGCTCCCGCCGCCAGGATGAGGACAGCCCTGTCGTGTAAAGAGTGTTGGTCCAGGATGTGCGGCCTCCTAGAAGCCGCTGCGTGGGAGCACGCCCAGGTTGGCCAGCTGCACTGGCGCGGCCCCCGCGGGGCCCAGGAGCTTTGCCACTGGCCGTCCTTCTGGCGGGAGCCGGCGGTTGCGTGGTCTCTGCGGGAGGCGGCGGAAGCTAGGCCGTCTTTGGGGCGGGACCGTCGGGCGGCCCAAGAGGGGCTGGCGGCCCTCGTGGCCGAGCGTCGTGCTGCGCGGGAACGCTCCGCACCGCAGAGGGTGGAGCGATCTGGCGCTGCTGGCAGAGGCGTCCCAAGATTCAAAGTGCAGCGCGCTCTCTTGAGAGGTATCCGTCCTGCGATTTACCTGTCTCCCCCTCGTGCCCCTTCCTCCCCTCCTCGGTCTCTCATCGCCTGCCTGCGTCTCCGTCTCGTCAAGTGGTTCTCGATCCCTCTCGAGACCTCAGCGGCTTTCGACTGGGCTGCCATTAATTCGATGCTCGCCTCGGCCCCCCCCTCTTGGAGGATGGCCGCCATCCGTACCTGGACAGGGGGGGGGTCACAGACACCAGACTAAGGAATGCCGACCGAGGCTGCCTGCTCGGGTGCGAATGCGCCCGAGATAGCCTTTCTCACTACATCGATTGCCGCCGATTTCTCTGGAATGTTGCTCTGGTCTCCCGTCTCAACCTTCCTGCTTCTCTCTCTGACCGTCTTGCTCTTTCTGAATGCTCGCTGGTGCGTCTGCGTCAGATTGTCATTCTTTATCATTTCCACCGCCTGCTGCACGCGCGAAGGCGAGCTCCTGGCTCGACCGCGCCCGACCCGCCCTCCTCATTCCTCATCGCCCGCGCAGCTCGCCTCGCCACCGACTTGCCGATGGGCGAGTGGAGGCGCTCGAGCGGGCAGCGGCAGAGGGGCCAAGGGTAGCTTGACCAAGGGACCTCTGGGGACGCTCCGCCTCCTCCTCCTCCTCCTCCTCCTCCTCCTTCTTTTCCTCCTCCTCCTCATCCTCATCCCCCTCTCCAAAGGGATCAAAGACATTAAACATCGATCCCTGATCCTCCCACACGTGACCGAAGTACAAGGAATAATCCGACGGAGACGGGGAGCAGGAGGAGGAATAGGAGGGAGGGAGGGAGCGAGTGAGGAAGGGATGGAGGCAGGGAGGGAGTGAGGTAGAAGGGAGGGCAAGGAGGATGACGGAAGGGAGAGGAGGGAGGAGCGAGGAGAGAAGCAGTATGGCAAGAAGGGTTCGTTCGAAGTTGTTTCAGGAGGTTGATGTGGGATATGCTCGGAGCCGTGCTCATCTTTTACGACTTGATCCAGCTCCCGTTGGACGCGTTCAAGCCACCACAGACAGGTCTCAAAACGTGGAGGTGGAGAAGAACAGGAACAGCAGCAGCAGGAGGAGGAGGATGGAGAGCGTCAGCAACAGCAGAAGGGACGGAAGGGCAGGGCTGGAGGGGGGGCGCCTCCTCCTCCTCCTCCTCCTCCTCCTCCTCCTCCTCCTCCTCCTCCTCCTCCTCCTCCTCCTCCTCCCCCTCCCCCTCCCACTCCCCCTCAGCGTCATCATCCTCGTCCTCCAACCTCGAGCCACAGCATTTTCGAGAGCTATGTGTTCCAGGGCATGTATGGGTCTCGTTGGGCTGCCCTGTCGACGGTGAGGATCCTATGGGCTGGGTCAATTTCACGGTTTGTTACGTTGAAGAGGGGAAGACCGCAACGCTGAGGATGATCGCAAGGTTCTGGAGGAACCACCGTTTCTTGACCAACAGCTGCATTCCTGTCCGTAGACGGCTACAGAAATTCAACGATGTCGCTGGAGGCATGATCAGAGCCAGGGTTGCGTTGTGGCTCCCGTCCCAGGCCACACTATCTATTTGGATAGACGCTTGGCCAAGCTCGTCGCGTGGATGATTCGGCTCCGATGCGAGGTGAACGAGATGACGCAGCAGCTTTGCTTACACAGGAACCGTGCTGTCAAGCAGGTACAGGTACGCAGTGGTCGAAACATCAGATGGTTTCATGCCTGGCTCGGCTTCCACATGTGCAACGGCACCCAGACTGTTGGGTAGCCAGTGCGGCAAGCGAGCAAGACCACGATCGGAACAACTCGCAAAGGCGCATCTAGGCGTCTACGCCCAGCAAGTCTTCGAAAACCTTTTCCCTAAACAGGCGTGGCAAGGTCCACCACTGGGACCAGTCTGGCTGGACGTCCCATTTCATTCCAGCAGGGACGCGGGACCCAAAAATTATGTGGGAATTGGCAGGCGAGCTCTTGCGCACCATGCGTTTTAAAGACGGAACCCGATATTGAGTCCTTGTGGCAACCTGGGCACTCCGCCTTCTACGGGCGCATCCTCCTCCTCCTCGTCCTCGTCCTCCTCCTCCTCCTCCTCCTCCTCCTCCTCCTCCTCCTCCTCCTCCTCCTCCTCCTCCTCCTCCTCTTCCTCCTCCTCCTCCTCCTCCTCCTCCTCCTCCTCCTCCTCCTCCTCCTCCTCCCAGTAGGGGAGGGGAGGGGACTGGAGGGGACAGGGCGGGATAGGACGCGAGGACGAGTAGGAGAAGCGGGTGTGGGCACGGAGGGAAGGAAAGAGGAGGCTGTCAGACCACCAGAGACAGGTTTCATGTGGTTCATGGACTGGTTCACCCTGATCTTCTGGACGATCAACATGCCAGCGTCGCTGATGGTGGCATTTTCTGAGGAAGGCTTGCTCGTGGTGGAACCGCATAGAATTGCGAAGAGGTATTTCAGGACATGGTTTGCGCTCGACCTGGTGGTGGTGATACATGATTGGGTCTTTACCTTTGCCAGAGAGTTTTCGTCGGACGGAAACAGCTCTGCACAGCAGTCGGTGACCCTCCTCAGGGCCTTGCGGTTGGTACGGCTGGTTCGGCTGCTGAGGCTTCTCAAGCTTCGCCGCATGTTTGCGACGGTCAACGACCTGATAAATTCCGAGTACGTCAGCATTATTGTGAGCATCGTGAAGATGATGGGGATACTTCTCGTGATCAACCACCTGCTTTGCTGCATGTGGTACGCCCTGGCCGACAACATGAGCAAGGACGAGACGACGTGGGTCGAGGCCCACGGCTTCGAGGGCGCAAGCTGGGAGTACTTGTCCAGTGCGCTTCGCGCCAGCCCCCCGGGACAGCGAGGAAGAATGAAAGGTGGAGGAGGAGGGGACGATGATGGACGAGAGGGGAGGAGGATGCAGAAGGAGGAGGAGGAGGAAAAATTGCCGAGCACGCCGAGCGGGCGGAGCGCGCCGGGGCGCTCATTACCCCTCTTGGCCCCAAACCTCCGAGAACCTTCGGGAGCGTACCTCTCACGTCCTCCTCCTCCTCCTCCTCCTCCTCCTCCTCCTCCTCCTCCTCCTCTTCCTCCTCCTCCTCCTCCTCCTCCTCCTCCTCCTCCTCGTCCAGATGTATTTCCTCCTCCCCCTCGCTGCCTCGACCTCACGCCCACTTCCTTCTTTCTCAGACATGCCCCTCTTCCTCGTCCATCCCTTTTCTTTATGATTTGTTCATCCCTGCTGCCCCCCCATACGTGCCGGTAGGGCTGGACGTTTCGCTTGAGGGCATTTCGCCATCTATGATCACGACGCTGAACATTACATGCGCAACCGTTCCTCGCATGGGGTGCGTGTGGTTTTCAGAATGTTGCTCTCGCCTTAGCGCCGCGCACATTCGTTTTAAAAGCGGGCGACGGTTTCACGGATGGAAAACGGGTGGTGTTCAAAATGTGGTTTTTGCCTCAGTACCGTGACCATCCGTTTTAAAAGCTTGCGACAGTTTCACGGATGGGGGGTGGGTAGTTTTCATATGTGACTCTCGCCTCAGCGCCGCACACATTCGGCTTAAAGTTTGCATCAGTTTCACGGATGGAGGGCGAGTTGGTTTCAAAGTGTTGTTATCGCCCCAGCGCCGCGCACATTCGTCGTAAAAGTTTGTAACATGTTCACTGATTCGCATGGTCGATTTTTTTTTGCGTAGTGCTTTGGCACGATTTCGGCTTGACAGGACGCAACTGACACTGATCCGCTATGTTAAAGTCAACTTGGAACTGTCAGGACGCAACCGTCACATTGATCCGCGGCCCTGAAGTCGCAGAAACGGCGTTTTGGCACTGATGGGGATTCTTCGACGATTGCCTTCTAATGGGCCAGTTCTGTTGGGAGCCCATGAAGAGGAAATCTGGAGGAGATTTTATTCCAACATCGTTGATGCATTTTGGGTTGGTCCTCCGCGGTTTCATTTTCATCATCATCATCAGCAACACCATCATCATCACCATCATTATCACCACCATTACCACCGCCAGTTAGCTCAAGCGGACGTAGTTCCGTCGGTGCCGCACCAGGGTGTCCTCTCGATCCCATACTTCGACGCGCGCGGTCCATTTCTTTCCTTTTTTCCCCAATCAGCGTTTACATTGAAGGAGTCCTAGCGGACAAAGAAGCGATTGGCGAAAGTGGCCAGCCGAGTTCGGTAGGCGGTTTTCGGTGGGCGCCCCCTCAAGAGATTGGCGAACGTAGCCGGCCGATTTCGGTGGGCGGCTCCTTGTGGGCGGCTGTCGGTGGACGCCCCCTCTTTCTCTTTTTCTCTTTCTCTTTGGCTGATGCTGATGTTTTTTGTTCCGGACCGTTGTGGGGGCGCGTTGTGGCCCTCTTGAGTCGCCGAGGGGCCTTTTACTGCCGTCGAGGGTACCTCCAGAGGCCCGCGTGGGTCATCTCGGGCCCCTCGTGCGCCGTCCTGGGGTAATATTGGAGACTTCCTAGGCCATTTTGAGCCGACGGATGCCCGAAATGGCGAGGATGCTACAACCCTTCCAACACACAAGGGCAATCAATGAGTTAGCCCTTACGGCTCTCTTGCGAAACTGCGGCCGGGCATCGTGCTTGCTAAATTTTCAGACCATCCATTGATTGTTTGTTTTCTCTGGTGTATTTTTCCTGGGAATTCTTGACATTCTCGCCATGTCCACAGTCATAGAGGGATCTCATGTTGCGACAGGGGACGAGAGAGCATCGAATAAGGCCCGAAGAGAGGCCGACGATGCGATGACGGACGATGAGGATGCAGTTATTGTCTGTGGCGGTGTACGTGTTGGCGCAGGTGCTGCTCAGGCTCCGTCGTCAGGTACTGGTGGACTTCCTGCCCGCCTGGAGGAGCCGTCCCTTATTCGCATGTCTTGCCGCCGCCGCCACCAGCTGGCCGATCGGGGGAAGCTCGGGCCATGGCCGAGGCCATCCAGGCTTCCCTCCGCCCACTGCTCGATAAGATCAGCTCAAAGGTCGAGAACATCAACCTGACGCACACAACTATGGACTTGAAGATACATGCCACCAATTCCAGGATGGATGCTATCAACCACCGCCTGGGCCGCACAGACACGGCGGTTGTCGACTTGACAGCTCGTACATCGTCTCTTTAGCAGAATGGGGTACCTACTGTGATTGGGTTTGCCAGTTCGATGGTCGGCGACGTGGGAGGCGCTTCTCAGGCCCACCCCCACAATAACCCGTACGCGAGGGACTCCAGCTGGGTGCCGAAATCCAAGAGACAGGTCATAGTCGTGGGTAACTTCCGCCAAGACACTGAGAAGAGTTCGGTGCTGCAGTGGCTTCGTGACATCACCGAGAAAGACCCCAAGTTCCCCGCCCGGCCATGACCAGACTTGGTGGAAGATTGTTACACTTCAGGCAAGTTCTGCTCCTTAGATCAAGTCTCGGCCTGCGCAGAACATGCGGACATTCCTGAAGGCCTACAGGGGATACAAGTTCATGCATGATGGCGAATCGCCGTTTCACCAGGTCGACAACCCTGTGAGCGAGCGCACCATGGGACGACGTACCTCGGCTGCCCGCAACGCGCTCATCACGGAGAACAAAGACACCCTCGGTGATCAGCCCACGAAGGAGACCCTCATCAGCGCGGCGCCGAGCGACTGGGGCGCGGGCATCGTGAGCGATCCTGCGAAAGACGGCCAGGTCACCAGGATCTACGAGGCGAAAACCGCACGACGGGGCTCTTCGAGGTCTCAACCCAGGCTAGCGCTTCGGCTCCAGACATCCGCTTCGCTGAGTTCCTGCAGGACATCAAGCACGGCGCACGCTGATATGACGGACCAGAGGAGACCCAAGATCGGCACGCGACATTCAACGTCGCTTCTTGGAGCACACGCAGCTTCCGCGCAATCGCGCGGGCCAGTGCGACGAGGGCGTAGACGACGGCAATGAATTAGTCGCAGGTAGCCCGCGCCAGCACTCAGCGATTGGAGTGGGCGCGCCAGCTTGGCGGGCAATCGCGACGTTTTTTCCTTGGGCGGGCCCCCCGCGCCTTGAATCTCGGAACGAACGCATGAGCTGTCTTTTTCTGAATACGATGGAGGAGGCCCCCCTCGAATATTGGACACGCCGCGATCATCGCGGGCCGGGCGCCACCGCCCAGCAGAGTGGCTATGCGGAAACATTTCGGGGCTTACTTGACGGGGATTGTTCAACATGCCGCGCCCTTGCCTGGCTCGGCGGCCACGGAGTCCGGCCGTCGGCCAGCGCGCGCCATTTCGAGGAGCTGCACGGAACATTTCCCGCCGCGCACGGTTCGGTCGAAACGACCGGCACGACGATAGCACACGCAAAATGACGAGTACCCGCTCCTCATCAGCGACGAGCTCGAGCCCCCGCGGCTCGAGGGCTCACCTTACCGCGAGCAAGACGACCCCAGAAGCCGGCACATCTGGTCAAACGGGCAGGTTTGCGAGGGGCGCAGGCCCCCGAGAGGGGCCCAACCGACAGCGGGACGGGGGCGCGCTGACTTTCTGCCCGGGCGCGACGCGCCAACGCTGGGGAAGGAGGCCCCGGTCAGTGCGCGCGGCGCCGCGACGCGCGATCCGAAGCGCGCGTCGCTCCTAGGAGCCGCCGGGAAGACGAATGGCACCGCCGAAATCACCGCGCCCGCGAAACTCTGCGTCTGGCTTCTGAAACAAGGACATGTCCAGACGGGCCTTTTCGATACCTGGCCTTCGGAAACGACCTCGGTCGAACAAGTCCCCGATTCACCTGGGCGACCCGATCACCTTGCACGTCGACGCGAACCACGCGATTCAGGTAGCCGCGGGGTTGACGCGACCGAGGGGGGACATTTTGCCGGCGCACCTACTTCGCCGTGTAGCACGACAGACCAGGAAAGATGTCAAGTTCGAAATCGCTGGGGATATAAGGCCCGTCTGTCTGAGCACGTAGGAAAGGATTTCGCAGATTATCTCGCCAAACAAGGGCGCGAACCACTAGCGGGCGAACCTAGACAGCAACGCCTTCCCCGCGTCGACCGGCCCCAAGATGGCCCACTTCGGCCGCTGGGAGGGCCCCAGCTTCTGCATCTTCGCCGGCGCGAGCACACGGCAACACTGAGCGCCAGGATTGACGCAAGCTGCCCAGGACAGATCCAAGGGGGCCTTTCCTAGATGTCCACGGACACATTGCTGCCACGGCTGGATTCAAGCGGCGTCGATTTCCCGTCGCTGTCCAAGTCCGCGGGCGCAGTCGCCCGCGCGGCAGCCCGACGTGGCCGCCGAGGCCCCCGCGCGTCTGCCGGGGCCACTCCGGGGGCGCAGCCGCCGCCGCTGACGGCGCGAGATCTGCAGCGCCAACTTCGAGTAGCAGCCAGAGGCCACATCAGACAGGCCCCGGCGCGCGAACGCTGCCGCGCGAGACGGAAGATTACCGGATCACGAGCGACAGCAAAGATCGACGAAAGCACAGATACGCAGAGGGCCCCAGCGCCAGACCCCGAGCGAGGGCCCTCAGATGGCCCAGGACGGACGACGCGATGGAGACGGCGACGACGACGCGCGAGAAAGCCGAGATCCTGACCTCCTTCACGCCAACCTTTTCGGGGACACTCCGCAGCCCCCCAATGCTGGGCACCCCCCTGGCCCTCCAGATAGGCAACCTGAACGCGGGGCCCCCCGTGGACCCACGCCCACTGGAGCCGCGAAACTCTCGACATCTTTCGACGCCTGGACCGCGGCTGGATGGAGGACGGGGCCCCACGGATGAAAATGAGGAAGCAGGGGTCAAAGCGGGGCGGGGCGGCGGCGGAGACGCCGCGCAAATCACCAGAGCAGGCGCTGGAACGCGCCGCCGAGACGTTTAAGCGCCGCCCGTTGAGCACCGAGGGTGAGGAGGAGGACCGCTACCAACTTGATCACGCAGGCCCGTTTCAACAACAAATGCGGCAGCATCTAAGGCCTTCGTCCGATCGCGCTGCTTCCCGCGATCTACGCGCAGCACAGACACTGCCTCCAATTGCTGATCGCGCCCGAACACAAGACGCAAACCAGGTTTCAGTTCGACTTCCGATCTGGTTCCCAGGCAGAGGAAGCCATGTGCATTGTGATGCAGTTCGTGGAGAAATGCCACGAGTGGACCCAAAGCGCCCTCCCTGTTTGTTCGCAGGAGATACTCTAAATGCCCGCGACGACACTGTCCGCGCGGGCGCAGCCGAGGCTGGAGTCAGGCTCGCCATTCCCAGGATTCTCTTGGTGGGATGTTCAAAGGAGGCGGGCAGGATGGAGGCGACGGTTTCTTTGGGCGATATGACTTGGTCGGCGTCGATTCTACGCGGGTGATCGCTGGCCCATGGTAACCCAGCTGCTCCGTTTCCTTTTCAACGCGAGGCTGGCGGCCTCACCGATGCCATCGCGAAGTGGCGCAAGCGCCATGGGTGGGGATTTCGGTGGAGAATATTCCAGAACAACCTTGAGACAGATTTGTTCATCCCGATGTAGTGCCTTGCTGATAATTTCTGGATTCTGGGGAGGGCGAGGGAGGAGATGACGATCACGACGAAGAACTGGTTGCAGGTCCCGGGGGGTGGGAGGGGGCCACCAGGTAGACTTAGCCGCTCGCCAGCGGCCCAGGCCCGCGTCCCCCGACGCCCAGCGTTGGAACGAGTCCGCGGTCGCAGGTGGAGTGGGAATTCAATGTATGCCGAAGACCGAGGGGATAGAGATCCTGGAAGCCGCGATCTCACACGACGGCAGGGGCGAGATTGCTCTGGAGCATCGAATCTCTCAGGCCTGGAAGACGTAGTCTCGCTGGCTGGCCGTGCTAAGCCACCGCAACGCGCCCCTGGACAAGTTGCCCCTGCCTTGCCTCGCGCGCAACTGTTTGTCCCAGGGTGCCAAGGCGCGGGCACTTCGGCACGACCAGTTCGCGAAGCCCCGCGGGCTGCAGGGCGCCCCGCACCGTCGGGCCCCCGGTCTCCACAAGAAAAGCCGCGAATCTTGGGATGTTTCACGATGGGGCACCCACGCAATAATCAACCTTGCTCGGAGGCGTCTGGAAATCCAGGGCCGGGATAAATAGTTGGCGGAGCTCTAGTTCAGACGGGCCAGCCATCTACAAACCACGAGTGGGAGAGACCCCGCGCGAGTGACCCCGCAGGCTTTACATGTTTGGGGATGCCAGGTTTCTTCGACAACAGGAACGGAGCCTTGGACGCGTCCGACCAGGCCGCGCGCGCAAGCTCCGCCTCCCGAGATGGGAGTCGCTCCTCTCTCGCCGACCCCGCCGCCGCCAACTTTTTGCAACCCCGCCAAAAATGTGGAGCCATCACATGAGCATAGCCGTGAATTTGCGCAGGGTTTCTTCGATTTCCCAGCTCTCAAGGGGCCGAGACTCGTTCCTCGAGGGGCATACAGAGACAGACAGACAGGCATACATACATACATGCATACATACATCACCACCACCGTCATCATCACCACCACCATCATCATAGTTGTTGCGCGATTGGTGGCGATGGAGCTTGGTGGGCCGCTGGTGATACTGCGCATGGTCGGCGATTCCACAAGCGCCCCCCCAGCCTCACCGAGCCCCTCTGCCAGGACCAGGACACGCATTGGAAAAACGGGCAAGGTTGTCCACAAGACATTCAGGTTTGACCGTCTCTACACCCCGCACCCCCTTGCCCTTCTCAGGGAAGTCGCGTCTCGCGCTGCCGTCTTGGGGCCCCTCGCAGCTTTCACGGCTGCTGACCACCCCCCCGTTATGCTCTCGTTAGAGTTCTTGCCCCCTTCGCCCAGGCACCTTGTGATATCTCGGCGGGTCGCGCCCATGCCTGAGTTTCAGACTGCGGCTGACAGCCCGTTAAGTGAGACCCCCCTCGACGGCATTGCTCTCTCGCTGTCCTTCGCGCCCCTGCCTTTGGCATGCGCGGCGGCTCCGTCATGTTTTTGAGTGTAACCATCGGCTCAAGATGCACTGTAACTCGGACCTGTTGGATTGCGCGCGTATTGACGGCCTCTGCGTTACTGAAAAACCGGCTTCCGTAATAGTTATGTTGGCGAAGATCGCCAGCGTGGTTTAACGGCCCGTACCCGTCGCCGTCAGCAGCTCTGGCGACAAATCCGCAAGCGCGCGTATCTTGTCGCAGTATTTGATGAATTTGGTGCCCCCTGCACGTCTGTTGAGGCCTTTGCGGCTGCCCTCCGTGACTACTGGTGCGATGACTTCAAGGTCCCCTTCGTTCAGGTTCTCTCTGGGCCCCTAGAGGTTGCATGGCAGCTACCCTATGGCGCCTGGTATGAGCTAAAAACGATGTCATAGCACGCCTGGTCCCGATGGTCTCCCTTGCGCTGTTTGGAACATGAAAACGCACCTCGGGTTCTGCCAGATCAACGTCAATCGTGCATGTGCCGACGATTTCCTGTTTGGCCTTGCGATTGCCCTCCGTGATCCGGGGCCAGCGCCACCCGCTCTCACGTCGCTGACCGCAGCCTGTATTTTCAGAAGGGCCCGTTTTTCAGACGTAGCGAAATTGATCGTGTCATCTCACGAGCCCCCTCGCCTCCTTCGGCGAGCCCTTCAACCATCCTGGCCCCCCATTGGGCCCTTCGCCTCGCGATCCTCATCGGCCCCGATGCCCATGACCACGCCTGGGAAGATATCGCCCCGAAATCTCCACATCGGAATCTTCTCATTCGGCAAGTCGGTATTGGGCTCGCTTTTTCGGCTATGTCGTTCAGGGTTACGCGCGCTTCGCTCTCACTGTTCCGCCTCCAGATGTACCCCCCGAGCCAAGCGTTCACGAGGATTTCTAGGGAGGGCGCGTTACTTCCCACAGCTGTCCCGCGCAATGTGTTATCACGTAATTTGGCCACGAAGTTTAACGAGATTGGCGTAGACGCGGAGCTCACTGATATCCACGCCGTCGCACAAGCTGCCTGTCTCAAATATCTGCCGCGACCCCGACTTCCCAAAGGTTTTGGAAGAACTCGAAGAAGCCCGCGATTATTTGCGGGCAGCGCGAGCTCTCATTCATCTCTCACATGCGCGACCTCCGCTTGCGGTGCTCCGGTCAAAGCCCTGGGTTCGAAATTGCCAGCAAAACGCTACAATCCAGCTTGCGCACTTTCAGCCGCAAGCTTACCCAATCCGAGCCTACTAGGAGCATCCACCTGCGTCGTGCTCGATGCTTTACTCCCGAAGCTGACGCCTCAATTATCTCGGACTTCTGTATGAGTGCGAAGAAGGTGACCAACTTCACCCCCACGCACCTCGGAGCGGCACCGCTGCGGCTGCTCACTGCTTCTTTCAGCATGAGTGCTACGTTCCATTGTTCGCCAGCTCGCTATTTGTTTGGACGTGCCCCGTCTGTTCTTGGGGATGATCTGGACTCGATGCGTCATTACTGCGTTTGACCTGGATGGGGCCTCCCCTGGCGAGATGTTCTGGACCGGCTCGTGGACCACAAGGCGAGCGTCCGCGTTGGTTATGTCTCCTTCTCCTCCCCCCCCTCTTCCGCGATGTTCCTGTAGTCTGTCTCGTACGCGCTGCACGTTGCGATGCTGTTTGGGCTGCCCACAATGCCCGACGGCTTTCGAAACCAGGCGCCCCTGCTGAACACTTCGAGGCTCGGCTCAGAGCGACGGCGACGAAACCCCGCGCCCTGTTGGCTGCCCGGTCTGGAGGTACTCTTGCGAGCGTTCGCAGAATTACGCGTTGCCCCCCCCGTCCTTTCCCCCCACAGGCCGGAAAATTCGACGAGGCGCTATCGACCAGGGCGCTCGGCACCCCGCGCGGTAGATGGGAGCCGCTCGATGAATCGTTTTCCGAATTATCCATGCTGCTGCACGCCTCGTTGCCCAGCCGCCTCTGCTGCGATGGAGCTGCCTTGGCTGACTTGTCAGCCCAGCTCCCCCTACTTGGACTGATGCTGAACTGCCCGTGCCACGGCGCGACCGCCTTTCACGGAAGCACAGGGGGCCGCTCGAGTTGCCCAAGAAGCTTCCTGGGCTTTGTATAATCAAACAAAAATGCGCGGCCCGAGCGCTCTCAGCATTCGCCGTGCGGCGAGCGCTTTTGAGGGGGGGCGCGGTGCAATGGATTCGCGGGGCTGCCCGTCGCGGGGCCCCCAAGCGGCTGATCCGGCCCACCCCGCGGAAGCGGGCGGAGGGCGCCGCGAAGCGGGCGACCGCCGCGCGGCGCGTCGCTTGGCGGAGGCGCCGAGAGGTTTGCGAGCGCGCCCTATTATTCCTACTACTACTACTACTACTACTACTACTACTACTACTACTACTACTACTACTACGACTACTACTACTACTACTACTACTGCTACTACTACTACTACTACTACTACTACGACTACTACTACTACTACTACTACTACTACTACTACGACTACTACTACTACTACTTCTACTACTACTACTACTACTACTACTACTACTACTACTACTACTAGAACTACTACTACGACACTACTACGACTACGACGACTGCGACGACGACTATTACTACTGAGGCTACTACTACGACGACGACTACGACTACCATTACGACGATTACTAACTACTACCACTACTACTATTACTACTACTACTACTACTACTACTATTATTACTACTACTACTACTACTACTACTATTACTACCTACTACTACTACTACTACTACTACTACCATACTACTACTACTACTACTACTACTACTACTACTACTCTACTACGACTACTACTACTACTACTACTTCTACTACTACTACTACTACTACTACGACTACTACTACTTCTTCTACTACTACTACTACTACTACTACTACTACTACTACTACGACAACTACTACTACGACAACTACTACGACTACGACTACGACGACGACTGCGACGACGACTATTACTACTGAGGCTACTACTACGACGACGACTACGACTACCACTACGACGATTACTAATACTACTACCACTACTACTAGTACTACTACTACTATTATTACTACTACTACTACTACTACTACTACTACTACTATTACTACTACTACTACTACACTACTC